TTAAAATCATTTAACAAAGTCCATGCTGCAGAGTTTCTTGACCTGATAAATTGATTGTTTTTTTTTACAAGGCAATTAACAGCATCTGTGGCTTCAATAAATATAATGAATTGCAGAAACATTTAATAATACGTTATGGAGTAGTACCAGCGCTTCAAAGGGAACTGTATTGCTAACGTGGCCCCCCGGTGAAAATGAGTTCGACACCTCTGATTTAGTGATCAACCTAATCTGCTAATGATCATGTGTTTGGACTGTTAGCCGGTGTGGCAAATGTTGAAGAAATCCTCTGCTGGAAACACCACTGACAGTAGAGTTCAGACTTCAGACTGATACGGTGCCAAGAGTGAAACTTTATACTGGGTACACTAAAATACTTTTTGTCATATATGTGGGAACAGTGAAGCCTGAGGATGAGTGACATCATGGATCAGACCTGAGTCTCTCTTCAACTACAGTGTTGACAGATGAGGTCCAACAGGAGGCTCTGTGGACCATGATGTTCACTGAAAACATTATATTCTGAGGTGAAATAGGAAACAGGTGGAATACAACCTGGAAGGATGGTGGTCTGCACCGGACAGACGAGGAATGGAGCTCTGTATTTGTCCCAGAATTCACTGATGGAAACACTGCCTGCAGAAGTGAGAGAGCACCAAGGGAAATATCTTTATCTTCTTCTTTTTCTTTTGACTTTGTCCCTTTTTCAGGGGTTGCCACAGCGAATCACTGATTTCCATATTGCCCTGTTCTCTGAATTTTAGAAAGAAGTCATTGTTTGAAATCCCAAATGATCTTTGTCCAATGTCACAATTAATCTGATTGTAATCAAACATGATTACAACTATGATTACAATTAATCAAGGGAAATCAACATTCCTTAAATGTGACAGAAGAGTTTTAGTTGATAAGTCAGGGGTCGAATACAGGTCGTAATGAACTGTGGCTGTAAAAAAACGATACCATTTTTAATCTGATTGGCTGTGGGTTAGCTCTGATTAATCATGATTATTCACAATTTATTACCATTAATGTAGATAAATTAACATCCCCACATGACAATAGAAATCTTCATATTACTTATGAAGAAAGACACATCACAGCAGGTAGCGTTTCACACCTGATTTTCTTTATTACTAATCCCAATTATATCAATATTAATATGGAAAAAAAGGAAAAGAGTTGATGGACTTTTTATGTGGAACAGGTTGAGATCTGTCGTCCTTGACGATGTTAATCAGTCCACATTCGTTCAGTGATCTCAGTCAGACGGAGGATTATTCACTCTCCTGCCTTCAGTTGAGTGTTCAGATGGTATTTGAAGCTCGAGGTGCTCCGGTGAAATGAAAACTCTTTCCCACAGTTTTTTTTGCGAATAACAGTGTATGAAAATGACAGCATTGAAAATGTTTTTGCTTTTGCCAATTAAAAAAAATGTCACTGTTTTACGACTTTCCTGTTGGACACTTCGACCATGGCCCTGAGCAAATATCGTTATTTATTCGAGCAACATTTCTGCTTGACATGGTTTCATATGTTGAGCCACATGAGTGGTAGCACATGACTGCAGGACGTGTTGCAGCCTCTGCCGTGTCTCCATTGGGGTCTTCTCTTCCACCCTGTGCTGTGTGTTAACAAAACTACACTTAACCTCACCTTGTAGGGTTAAAGCTCTCTCCTCCTCAGGTCCGCCAGTGCCTTGCCTTGGACTCTGCGGTGGTCCTCCGAGCAGCGAGGTATAGCTTCCCCTCGGTTGTGAACACGTCTCTTGTTTCTCACTAAGTAGTTCCAGCAGTGCAGCACTCTTTGTCGTGCAGTTGGTAATGATTTAAACAAGCTCAGGGCCTCTCTTCTCCTTATCCACACCAGCCGGTCCTTTCTATTCCCACCACTAGGATTGCCTCATCACGAGACTTGTTGAAATGATTCATCTTGTGAACTGAACCAAAATCTCTTTTAATAAGAGCAAAGTGTCCTTCTTCAGAGAACGGCTTCGATAAGAGTCTTGGTGGTTCTGGGTCACATTGAATCCAGGTGCTGTTGAAACACGCCGTGAGGTGTTAGGTGGTTCCTGCAGTGAGGGATGGTTTTGACTGTGAGCATTAAAGCTGCAGAGGAGGAAGTCTCAGTGTTTATTTGGGATTCATTATTGACCATGCTTTTACATAAATTATACACTTTTCAATTTCATTGAGTCCCCTGGTGTTAGTTTGGTGGAGAGACATATTTGATGTAATGATTATGTCAAATCAGCTTCATTATACACATATGGACACTGCTTGACCCCCCCACCTCCAGGTTTAAACCTTCAACATCTGATCATTTGGCCTGATCTGACAGAAGGTATGTGTTGCAATAGATCTCTTATTGTCTCCATTCAAAAAAATGTTCATTAAAGTGGTGCTCGAGCAACTGCAACACGGACCCCAAGGTGTAGAGTACTTTTCAGTTATTATCTAAGGTGACCCAGCGCTGTAGCCTGAAGCGGGTTAGTTTCCTTGAGATAGAAAAAAATATTGTTCTGGTCAGGACATGTCAATGGTGTACTTCACCTGAAGTACACCATGGACATGTTGACCATGGACATGTTGACCATGGACATGTTGACCATGGACATGTTGACCATGGTCATGTTGACCATGGACATGTTGACCAGTGTAACGTGTCATGTTTCGACATCCTTCTTCCATCTTCTTCAGACGTGTCCCCACTGTCGGCTCGACCAAGGTTCTCGTTGTCAGTCTGCTCCTCCTTTGATGGTGGTTGTCTGTTGTTCTATCTTGTTACTTTGCTCTGATGTTGATTCAACAGCACAAAATATCATTTTTAGTAAATGGCCGCAAAGGATCCTTCCACAGTGGCAGAGACGGCGGAGAGTAGAGCAACGTTTTTGAAGCAGAGGAGCTGAGTTATTTGTTCTTATATACAGTCAGGCTGTATTTTAGACCTCTTCTGACCCCTCCTCCAATAATTATCAGATACCAAATACCAAAAGATGGGTCAAAATGTGAGAACTCCAAAACAGAGTCACTATAGTGTCTGCATTTTCTCTCTTTTTTTCTGCTTAAGTATCAAACTCAGTCTGACTTTTTCCTGCTTGCTGATGTCGCAAAGCAAATGATTATAATCATCCTGCCTTCAACACTGGGTAACTACACCTGTACTACCTCTCCTACCTGTTAGAGCCTCATCCATTCGCTTTGCTAGTGACACATTATGTATAACCCAAGAGGGCTAAATGAGGATGAGCTTTCCCAGGTTTGGGCAAACTAAGGCCCGGGGGCCCGAGGCAGCCCGTTCAGCTTTTAACTCCAACCCACCAAACATTTCCAAATTATATAATTTATGTGTTATCATTATACTTCTGCCTTTTCCCTGCAATACCCACGGCCCACCTGTTCAATTTTAGGACAATTGTGGCCCGCGAGTCAAAAACGTTTGCCCACGCCTGAGCTATCATGTTAGCAGTAGATGTGAGTTGTCATCTGTAACAACAGGGGGAGACAGTGAGTAAGGCTGTACATCTATATAGTAACAAAAAGTAGTGTGGAGGTAACCAATTTCACCTTTTACCCAGACTGGTGTTTTCTCAGTCTGTAGACCTGACACACTGTCAAGTTTAGGTTAAAACTAACAGAGAAAAACAAGGCTCCATGTAGCAGACCTCTTAGTCCAGTGACACGTCCAGTGTTTTATGTAGACCACTTAAGGTGGGGGAGTTGGTTGGTGTCTCTTAAACAAACACACACACGCGTGCGCGCACACACACACACACACACACACAGCTCCCAATACACAGTTATAAGTTGCCCATGTGTTTCTACTCTTACTCCCTACGGGCCACATGATAGACTTCCTGTCTCAACAAGAAAGCGCTTCTATAAACCAGTCTAATTAGCCAACTGACTGACCTGTATTTCCGTGTACTTGTGTCGTAGTGTGGCAGCAGTGACTCCCCTCCTGGAACCATCAGACCTCCTGGTGATGTACACATGCAAACTAAGCAACTCCAAAATCTGTTAGCTTCTAAACCAAGGTCACCTGATGTACAGGTCATTTAGAGCTTCTGATTGGTGCATCCATGCATGACATCACTGATGAACGTCCTTTCACACTCACATTCATTTCTATGGTTAACGTAATGTGAAGCTGAATACGATTGGACAACGCATGGGATTTCCGTGCGGATCGACCAACAGCGCTGTGACCTTGTTCCACCATCGATAGTATACATGTTTACCTGACCATGTGGTGATGCTGTCCCCACATGGTCAGGGTCCTGTTGGACAACTGGCCCATCAATCAGACATGTGATCAGTTATATTCACAGCATCACTTCAGTCTTTCTTCTTCAGGTCATCTGTTGAGTCGTGTTTCAATCACTGATTAAAAACATTTGTTTAATAGTGTTGTCTTCTCTGAGGATGGGATAAAAAATATGGTGCATAGTCACTCCCCTAATCTGGAATCCTCCCATACTCCCGCCTCTCACAACCCCTAAAATGCCTGTCCGACAGTACTAAGACTACTGTATTTAGTTGTTTACCTTCTCATCTCTTCCTCTTAAAAGTTTTCTTCTCCCTTTCTTCACTCAGTGTGTGAGATACTTTCTCCTATATAGTATTAGTTCTCTATAACAATTAGATAATAATAATAATCACACTGTGATCGACCTTTTCTTGTCAAAATAATTTTCATTTCTCACTCTGTACAGATGTATCTACAACACAAAGTCCAATTAAAGAAATGTAAAATCCGTTGAGGTAAACTTAATTTTGTTAATTTGGGTTATAGAAATAAAAGTTGATATATTTCTACAGTTTTTCTGCATCCTTTTTTTAACGATAAACACAGTGTGATCCTCTTTATGTTGTTAACATGATTTGATTATTGTATGACAGTAGTGCACATTCCTTCATTTCTCACTTGTTACTTTTTAAAGAAAATTACCTTCTTAATGTAGTTACCATGAAAAAAATCTCAAGTTAATTTGGATTCTACAAGTGAAACTGATATAACTCTCTCTCTCTCTCTCTCTCTCTCTCATGGCCTTCCTCGTTCTCCTTCTTCCTCTTTCTTCCTTACCCACTCCCCCCCTCCCATCCCTCTCCTCGCCGGCTCAGCTATGGTGGGCGGTGTGCCGACATGCGTGTGCGCCCCTCCTCTCTCATCATAATGTGCGCACAACAGCGGCTGTGAGGTGGATTTGAACTTCCAGTCAGTGCTGAGGCAGAGAGGTGGAGGCTTCCAGGCTGCTGCAGCTACGACCGCCAGCACTCCACCCTGTCTTTGGAGCAAGTTTCAAGTTGATAAAGCTGACTCCAGAGTGGACTCCAGAGAAGTTTGGACTGTTTGACTGTTGACTCTACGAGGTAGGATTTTGATTGAATTTCAATGTTTTTTGTGAATTTGGTGCTCAGAGTGTATCAGTGATGGTTGGATGTGTCTGCTGCTGATGGAT